CACTCCCGCACGCACACTCACACTCACACTCACACACACACACACTCACTCACTCACACACACACTCACACTCACTCACACACACACACACACACACACTCACTCTCACACACACACACACACACACACACACACTCCCGCACGCACACTCACACTCACACTCACACACACACACACTCACTCACTCACACACACACTCACACTCACTCACACACACACACACACACACACTCACTCTCACACACACACACACACACACACACACACTCCCGCACGCACACTCACACTCACACTCACACACACACACACTCACTCACTCACACACACACTCACACTCACTCACACACACACACACACACACACTCACTCTCACACACACACACACACACACACACACACTCCCGCACGCACACTCACACTCACACTCACACACACACACACTCACTCACTCACACACACACTCACACTCACTCACACACACACACACACACACACTCACTCTCACACACACACACACACACACACACACACTCCCGCACGCACACTCACACTCACACTCACACACACACACACTCACTCACTCACACACACACTCACACTCACTCACACACACACACACACACACACTCACTCTCACACACACACACACACACACACACACACTCCCGCACGCACACTCACACTCACACTCACACACACACACACTCACTCACTCACACACACACTCACACTCACTCACACACACACACACACACACACTCACTCTCACACACACACACACACACACACACACACTCCCGCACGCACACTCACACTCACACTCACACACACACACACTCACTCACTCACACACACACTCACACTCACTCACACACACACACACACACACACTCACTCTCACACACACACACACACACACACACACACTCCCGCACGCACACTCACACTCACACTCACACACACACACACTCACACACACACTCACACACACGTCCATGTAGAAGTGCATTTGAAAACAAATGCATATTTTGCCATTCAGCAAGTTATATATTTTCTTTCTTTTTTCTTTTCTTTTTCCTACTATATGTTATTTTTACATTTTGACTGGATGCTGTCTTGTCCGATGAAGACAAAAAAGAATTGAAGGACAGCAATGTGACACCAAAACCAGGTAGTTCAACTGCTCATTTTGTCTGTGTATTTCTCTAGAAAATAAAATAATTTAACATATAATACTGAAGAATATAAAAATGATGTAAGTTTTATTGTGGTCACTGTAAATCAGTTGTTGCGCATGTTCCTGACACACTTATAAAGTCTATTCCCTAAAACTCTCTACTACTGTATATCTGAAAAAGTGGCAGATAGAGTTGGGCGATATGATGATATCATCGCATATCAACAATATTTCGCAAGTGCCCTTATGTCAGTTGACCAGGGATTTATCTCAGTGTATGACCAGTGTTATCCATTTGTCATACTTAAGTAAAAGTAAACACCTTTATGGATAAGTAACTGATATTAAGGCTACTAATCAAAAGTACATGCGTATTTTATAAATAATGGCACAGCTAGGTTTACTGATGGCAACCATTGCAGGTAATGAGGTTGTTGACCCGAAAATGTTATTCCAAATCTGTATGATTTTTTATTTTTTATTTTTTTCGTGGAACACAAAAGAAGATATTTTGATGAATGCTTGAATGTTATGTCGTGGGGTCCAAAACAACAGTGGACCAAAACATAAATAAATTGTATTACAGTATGCTAACAATGGTAGCGATCATCACACATTTACAATAAAATCCTCTTTTTTTTCTTCAGTCAACAACAATGAAGGGCCGTCCTTTGGCTTATGGATTTTCATTAGTTGCATTAGTGGCATTTTCCTCGGCATTTTGATCAGCTGGATATACTGCTATTTAACTCGAAAGGTAAGTTGAACGGTTTATAAAAAGGGTAGTTTATCTACATTTTGTCATTTGTAAAAGATCTGAAAGGGGTCATGACATTAGCAATAAAAAATGTCTTTAGAAAAAGGCCTCCTCGGCTCAGCACAAAAAGGCTGGTTGGAATGTTGTAGGATTAGTGATGTCACATGGGGAAATACAACGCATTGACCAATAGCTTGACATCCTCACACTTCAAAGGTTTGGGTTCTCTAAGATTTTTTAAATGTTTTTAAAAGAAGTCTCTTATGCTCACCAAGGCATATAATTGTAATATATTTTAAAATGTAATTTATTCCTGTGATGATAATGCTGAATTTTCAGCATCATTATTCCTGACCCCAAACTTTTGAATGTTATGTATTTGGAAATATTTTTGCCTTGCTAATTGTGTGTTTTTCATTTCTTTAGTACTCCATATGCGGTTCATGCTGTGGTAAGCATCTCCAAAACCTTTATTCATTGCTTGGGCGTAAATTATTACATTACATAAAAAATAGAAATGCATACATTAAAGGATTTTTTTTTAAATGCAGTAATTTTCTCTATGTAAAAAAAGTAAACCCTGATACTGAATATTTCCTTGTATGTAATGTAACAAGATAATAATTTACCATCTTATTAAATGTAACTTGAGCCTGATGAACTTTAGTTTATATGTGAATTATTTTTTATTATGTAAACAAAAAAAGACATTTTGAAAACAGTTCTTGAAACAGCTGCATAACTGCATGGTATATTTGATAGAAAACCAAAAGAAACTTGACCACAAAAGAAAAGGAAGTTCTTCAGAGGATAAAGTTAAAGAGTCAGAAACAACGGATGACGAGGACCAAGATGAAATCAAACAAGAAGAGCCATGTCTTCAACAACATAGAAAGTTAGACAGGGTGCAGTATGTGTGCCAAAGGGTTTCTTCAACTTCAGGTTCAGAATCAGAACCTTCTGGTTCAGTAAAATGTAACTTCTCTCCTACTCAAGAAATATAAGGCAGAGTGGTAAATGCATGATTAGCAGTACAGACAGAGAGAGGACTGTAACACTATATTGACCATCAATTTTATAATTGTGCATTATCACTTTAACACTTTATCTCTGTTTATTCAGCTATTTAAAAAAAACTGCCAGTTGCAAATTAAATATTACTGTCACCAAACAATACACTCTACACGTTTAACAGTTATGGACCTTTTTTGTGTTTCTGTCTTAATTCTATTCCTCATTTTTTTTCATCGGTAATTATTATTATTATTAACGACTGTCCTTCGTTCATTGGCCTCATTATATATACTCCCTGTATAGTTAATTTATGTTAAACATTATTACAATTTAAAATAACTGTTTGAATGTATTTTCAAATGTGTCAGTCAGTCAATCAATCAGTCATTTTATTATGGTCCTCACAGACAACGTTTCACAAAACTAAATAAATAAACATAGGCTAATTACCGAAAAAGGTGTAGGCCGAAGCCGTGCTTATTATGCCTACCCTTTATACATAATACAAGATGAACAGTGTCGTTCATTAGTTATCAAATTTAGTGAAAAAAGTTACATAAAACATTTCCCAAAATGTACATACATAATTCCAAACATACATAATAACAGAAATACAGATTCCAGCTATTACTTCAATATTTTAACTAATACATTCACAATTTATTTATACTGAGTCATATAATTATTTATCACCTTTGTTATGGCCCAAGCCTTGTGGGTTTAGTGTCTATTGTTTGTTTTTCGTTTTTGGTGCCGATTTGGTTTGTCTTTCCTTCCCGAGGTTAAGAGCCGCCCCTGCACACCTGTTTGGGTGCTGGCGTCAGATGAGGAGCATGACGCGGTGCTGGGCTGAAGTGGGGTGTTTCCGCCAGTCGCGTGATCGCTGCGGTCTCTGTTAAGCTCTGTAAGGCCAGGCATACACTGTACGAGCAGATCGCATGCGATGTAAAGTCAAAGCTCACGATTCACGTGCTCACACTGTACGGTCCGATTGTCGAGCACGATTTATCTGCTCACACTATACCTGTGAAATACTCGAGTGCGCAGACCATGACACGTGTATATGGATAGCCAGAGAGGTCTAAAAAAAAAAAGCATTAGGTGATATCGAGAGGATTTGTCATTTCCAATTAATGTATTAAATTATTACCATTGCGATGCTTAAACTCGCGTTAGGCCGGGCATACACTATGCGATTTCTATGCGATCTCAAGGTACCAGCTCACACTGTACGAGCAGATCGCATGCGATGTAAAGTCAAAGCTCACGATTCACGTGCTCACACTGTACGGTCCGATTGTCGAGCACGATTTATCTGCTCACACTATACCTGTGAAATACTCGAGTGCGCAGACCATGACACGTGTATATGGATAGCCAGAGAGGTCTAAAAAAAAAAAGCATTAGGTGATATCGAGAGGATTTGTCATTTCCAATTAATGTATTAAATTATTACCATTGCTATTATTATTTTTATTATTATTATGGTACTTTTATTATTACATTTACAGGTCTACTACAATTCATTTGCCCCGCAATAATTTCATAGCTCATTAGGCTACCGCGCAACTGACGTGCGGATTGATTAAATTCGCTTACTCCTCATTGAAAATGATTTAAAACATTTAGATACATTACACAATGAACAGGCCTATAGCCTGTCCGAACACTATAATCAGTAATCAAAATAAGACCTTTATTAGCCTACAGACAAAAAAAAATCAAAAACAACTTGTTTAACACGAAATACTTCAATTCTGTTGTTGTTGTTTTTTCACGTAGGCTATATCAGCCATAAGAGATTTTTTTTAGAAAATAAATTAAGACAATACCCGATATCTCTCGTCTCCTCTGAGAGTATGTGCTGTTAAGCGTCAGATGGCGAAAGCTCCGTCAGTTTTAACTTTCACTTTCTGTAGCTTAATAAATTGACTGGAGTTTAAGGGATGGATTACTGACCGGGCCAATGGGGCCAGTGCCCAGGGGACCTTGACTACCAGGAGCCCGGGAGTCCCTGGGCTTTACGGTTGCACAATCTAGTTTGGTACGAAAAACCCAACAATGAAAACAAATGTTTATTTATGCTTGAATATATGTGTCCCTTAGCCTATACAATGCCTCTTGAACAAGGCTTTTGGTCTGTGAGGGCTCTCAGGCACTCCTGTTACTATGGGGCCCAAACGTATGTTTATTTATGCTTGAATATATGTGTCCCTTAGCCTATACAATGCCTCTTGAACAAGGCTCTTGGTCTATGAGGGCTCTCAGGCACTCCTGTTACTATTGGGCCCTGTAAATATGAAGGCCTCCAAATCTTTTATAGAACCAGGGCTGTAGCTGGGGTATCCGGGGCCCAATGCAGGTTGTTGCTGTGGGCCCCCTTGAAAACGCGTTCCGGAAGGAGGGACCCTTCAAGCCCGGGGCCCCTAGAAATGTCACCACCTTTTGCCCCGCTAGCAACGGCCCTGAGTAGAACCATTGTCTGTCCCATCCTGTTTCAAGTTATATTTATTTGAACCACTCTTTGAGCTTCTTTCGTGTAAAGGGTATAGGAATAAGTACTATTTGTCAGAATCAGAAAGAGATTTATTGCCATTGCACACACAAGGAATTTGTTTTGGTGACAGAAAAAGCTTATAGTGCAGACTCTGAGACAACAACAGTACACAGATAGTAAAATTAAAAATAAAGATAAAGATGTGTGAATAAGGGGGGAATACAGAGAGCAATTGACTCCATTTTGGCATGGTAAAGATTTAACATTTTGACTAAACTCACTTGGGGGCCACAGAACGCGTTGCGCTCGCGTCTTGCAGTCTTTTGCAGCCTCTCGCGCATGACACGGCGTTCTAAAAACTTAAAAACGCGTCTCTAGACCTTAAACGTGTTTTACCCCCATTCCTCTCCTCGCGTCTTTCAAAGCAACCGTTCTGTGTGAATGTGTCATTAAGCATTTCCTGATTCATTTAGTTAATTGCAACATTTCTAATGCTGTTTTTTTTTTTTACTATAATCAAACAATTACGTAGACTGTTATTGTCAAATCAGGCCTTAAAAACGAATTAGTTCGTTCTGGGCAAAAATGTTATTTTTTTCTTGTTCCGGTTCCATAGTTACCAGTTAGAACAAAATATAAAATACTGCTTTATTTATTTCCGAAACAAAAGTAATAAAAAATTGTATTTGTTTATTTTCATTTTCATTTGATCAGTACACTGTAAAAAATGACCGTGAATTTAACGTAAAAGACTGTAAAAATGCGACAGTAAAAACCTGTTAAATGGTTAATGGTAAATTCCCCTACTATATACGGTGAAAAACTGTATTGGACATTAATTTTACGGTAGTATACCGTTTTTGGAAGTGAAAAAGACCGTATAATTTACAGTGAATAACCGTAAATTGACATTCCCAGAATTCCCTGCGTTACATTTCAAATTTGATGTTTTTTTGTTGAAATAACTGTTTCTTCTTCAGTTTTGTATATTAGGGTTGTGTGTTACACCTAATGTTGTTAAATGAATGTTTATAGCATTATTTCAGTTTCATGTGTGTTACCATGATGGTGTTTGGTGGTTGTGTGAATGACACTGTGCACCTTCTATATATGTTATTATTTAAAAGCTGCTTGTGATGGGCTTTGGTTCATCATGTGACTTTCTCATCACCACCTGCTTTTGGTGGTTATCAGTGTATTACAAAGCTACAAAACAGATTTCAGTACTTCAATAAGTTGGTATATTAACATTATATCAGTTAATGAAATTACGGTATTTAACTGTAAATTTAAGTTAAAACTGTAAAACCTAAAACGTTGCTACCGTATTTTTTTTATGGTAAAATTCCGGCAACCACAGCTGCCGTTTTTTACCGTACATTTTTTTTACAGTGTACAGTAGGCTAAATAACGCTCCCAACGGCAACACGGGAAACTCTTTGACTTCATTTGAGAGTTGTAGAGATATTTCCTCATCATCCTCAAATATATTAGATATAATTAAAGTGTATATATAGTCAAATTATTTTATTTACAAATGTTTGATTTTTTTATTCGTTAGGCCTATTTAAATTAATACAGGCTAGGAAGCCTATATATTCATAAATGAATGCAGTATATATAAGCTACCATTTTATTCTTCCTGTTTAACATTTATTAGACTCCAGGTTGAAATAAAAGGATGCTTAATGTTATGGGGAAAAAAATTAGAGAAATCACAGCTTATTCTGGATTTTTACAACGTTTAATAAAATCTTTGTGAGGACGACTGGCTGGACAACCTGTCAGAAACAGGCGAGGGTCAGACAATGAATGGCAAAAGGTACTTCCTTCCGCCACGGATTCAAAACTCAAGTTGACGGTTAAACATACGTCACTTTTAGAATTCGTATCAAGCGCATGTGCTGCTTCAGTTCGGTTATTAGTGAGAAATAATCAGGTTATAAGAGAGAAACAATGTGGCAAGACGTGCATCCAAATGAGAGAGAGAGAGACCGCGAAGCTAGACGTTTCTTATATTAACTAACGTACTCTACGATTAGCTCAGTGAATAAT